ATCTCTTCCTTTAAGTCCGGCCACCAGTACCTTTTCTTTAGGTCAAGACACATCTTATTAGATCTTGGGTGAACTGAATATCTTGTCTTGTGAGCTGCGTCCAGTACCAGACTCCTAATGTCGCCAAATTTTGGTACCCATATTCGGTCCAGGAAACACAAGGTTCCATTTTCTCTGGACTCGAATTTCTTCTCCATACCTTGTAGGCCTTCTTCTGCCTTGTTCTCTTCTTTGAGTGCCTTTATTTGGGCTTCTCGAATTTCGGAAGGAAGGTTTGACTGAATTGTTAGATTAAGTGCTTTCACTTTGCGAGGATTGACTTGTTTCTTTCTGCTTAGGGTTTCAACTACTATGTTAGCTTTGCCCGGGTGGTATTGAATCTCACATTCGTAGTCATTCAGTAGCTCAAGACATATTCGTTGTCTCATGTTGAGTTCCTTTTGGTTGAAGATGTGCTGAAGACTTTTCTGGTCCGTGTATACGACACACTTTGTGCCATACAAGTAGTGTCGCCAAATCTTTAAGGTGAAAGCCAATTCCAGGTCATGGGTCGTGTAATTATTCTCGTGAGTCTTAAGTTGGTGTGAGGCATAAGTGATCACTTTGTCTCTTTACATGAGTATGCATCACATGCCCTGATGTGATGCGTCACAATAGACGACAAAATCTTCGGTTCCTTCCGGAAGTGATAGAATTGGCACACTAAACAACATGTGTTTCAACTTCTGAAATTCGGATTCTTATTGTTCTTTCCATTCGAACTTTTTATCTTTCCGTGTAAGCATAGTGAGAGGTTTTGCTATTTTTGAGAAATTTTCTATAAATCTCCTATAATAGCCTGCCAATCCTAGAAATTGACGCACCTCTGTTGACGTCGTGGGTGCTTCCCAATTCTTTATGGACTTAATCTAGGAATGATCTTCATAAATGCCTTTATCATTAACCACGTGTCCTAGAAAATGTATTTCTCTTATCCAAAATTCACACTTCGAGAATTTTGCGTACAATTTCTCCTTCCTTAACAACTCCAAAATGATTCGAAGGTGTTGACCGTGCTCTTTCTCTAGTCGTGAGTATATAAATATATTATCGATGAATACTATCACGAATTTGTCGAGGTAGGGTTTATAGACACGGTTCATTAGATCCATGAAGGCTGCTGGGGAGTTAGTTATGCCAAAATGCATAACTAAGAACTCATAGTGGCCATAACGAGTTCGGAATGTCGTCTTCAGAATATCTTCTTCTTGTACTCAAAGTTGATGGCACCCAGACCTAAAATCAATCTTCGAATAGAAGCTGGATCCTTGAAGTTGATCGAACAGATCGTCAATCCTTGGGAGTGGATATCTATTCTTGATTGTTAACTTGTTCAACTCTCAGTAGTCGATGCACACTCTAAAGGTTTCGTCCTTTTTGACGAATAACACTAGGGCTCCCCATGGTGAGAAACTCGGTCTTATAAAGCTTTTATCCAAAATCTCTTGGAGTTGACCGGATAACTCTTGCATTTCCAAAGGGGCTAATCTGTAGGGTGATTTTGCCACTGGAGCTGCCCCTGGGACTAGGTCAATTTGAAATTCGACTTCGCAAATTGGCGTTAGTATGGGAACGTCCTCCAAAACTACATCAGGAAAATCACATACTTTGGGTATGTCCTTGATTTCCTTCTTCTCACCCCTCTTATCTATGATATGGTCCAAGAAGGCATGATACTTCTTGTGAAGGTACTTATGTGCCTTCATGTAGGAGATAATTCTAAGACCCTTGTTGGTCTTATCTTCGTAGATTATTAGAGATTCCCCGTTGGGTAACGGTAGTCAAACAACCTTGTCGTAGCACAAGATTTCCGCTCGGTGCGGTAATAGCCAATCCATGCCGATTAGGACATCGAAGCTACCAATGGTCATAAGCATGATGTTGATGTGAAAGGAGTGGTTATTGAGAGTTAGAAGGCAGTTTTCTAGTATTTCCTGAGTACTAAAGGATTCTCCATTGGCCATTTCTACTATATAAGGCTCATCTAATTTCCTAGATTTATGGTTTAAAAGTTTTCTAAACTTAAGTGTAATGAAACTTCTTTCAAAACCATAATCAAAGAGTATAGATGCATATAAACTAGGCCTGATAATTGGGTTGGGTTCGGGTTGGCGGGTTGGCGGGTCAGAAAACATAAACTCAACCCAACCCATATAATATATGGGTTGACGGGTTGGCGGGTCACGGGTTGGTGGGTTGGAAACCTCAACCCAACCCAACTCATATAACCCGTTTAAGTATATGGGTTCGCAGGTTCACAAGTTAATGGGTCAAACCCAACCTATATAACCCGTTTAATAAATAAGCAACACATTTTAAGAAATGAGGTTTTCTCAACATAAATTCATAAAATGATTAAAGTAATTAACATAAAAAAGGTTTTCAACATAAATTCATAAAATGATTAAAGTAATTAACATAAAAAAAAGTTTTCAACATAAATTCATAAATTCAATAACATCCAAATAAAAATGAAAAATGAAAATATTCATAGAAATTGGATGTGTTCTTCGTTCGTGACTCGTGAAAACAACGACATGTATTTTTTTTTCTGATTAACGAACCGCAAATGCAAATTAGTCACATACGAATACGGAAGGAATACAATGATACGGAATATTACGAATACGGATGGAAATCAAATTTCATTAATAATTAAATGTATCATTTTTTAAATGTAATATATATATATATATATATATATATATATATATATATATATATATATATATATATATATATATATATATATATATATATATATACGGGTTGGCGGGTTGACCCGCGAACCCAAATAGACAACCCAACCCAACCCATGAAATAAACGGGTTGGTGGGTTGGCAGGTTGACGGGTTGGCGGGTCAAAAATCTCAACCCAAACCCGTCTATTTTCGGGTTGGGTCAGTGTCGGGTTACGGGTTGGGTTGAGAGTTGCCACCCATAATATAAACCGTTAACAGGAAATGTACCTGTCACAACGGTGGGGTCCTGAATGGCGTCCTTCGTGCCAATCACGAACGCTCTTCCTCTATCATTTCCCCCCTCATTCTTAAGCTTTGGACAGATCCTTCTAATGTGACCAACAACCTCATATTCAAAGTAGGCTCGACTATCTCGCAAAGCAGCCATGCCTTGGTTGGTTGTGGCAATAGGAGCAGTTGCGGCCTGGCGGCAATATTTCTCGGTATACCCTCAACGATTACACATGTTACAGTGCATGCAGTTGCCATAGTGGTGGAAGTGAAACAAATGGCACTTTGGTTGCTGTCCCACATACTATCGTTGAGATGCAGGAGCTGTGACCGCTGTCGGGGCCGGACTGATGATGTAAGCCCTGACAGTCTCCTGTCTCTTGGTGGGAGTTTTCTTAAAAAGTACCCTTGAATCCGTTCCCAGATTTGCGCTTGCCCTTGCTCGACCTAGGGATGTCAGTCTTCCGGACTAACGTGCCTCGTCTTATTTCTTGTTTGGTCAAGCTAAAAGCCAACCTTTTGGCACTGTCATATGTTGATGGTCGAGAGGTCGTGACCAACCCTTGGATGGGTTGAACCAACCCCCAAATGTACCTTCCCACTTTCTTGTACTCAGGGGCCAAAAAGTTTGGGCAAAGGGTTGAAAGGTCGTTGAACATGTTGGCGTAGGTTGAGATGTCGACGTCGCTCATGGTCAAGTTCCACAGTTCTTGCTCTAGTTGTTGCATCTCCTCTCGAGGACAGTACTCCTCGATGAGCATTTGTTTCAATTGCTCCCTAGACAGAGTATTGGCGTTGGCGAGACCTATCGTCTTGATGTGGCCATTCCACAAAGACATAGTCACGTCTGTGAACGTGAGGGCGACGAACTTGACCTTGATCTCCTTAGCACAAGATCTGATCTCGAAGACAGACTCAGTCTTCTCGATCCATCGGGTAAGTCCTACAACTCCCGTTTTCCCATAGAACGTTTTGCATTTGCATATCATGAAATAATTGTAGGTGCATGTCTTGGTGCACCTTTGTCACTTCCTTAGGAGCCTTCTCCTCCCGTTCCAGAGTTTGTGTGATTACCATGGGCAGCTAGTGCCTCAGCCATCCTTCGTTTGATCATTGCTTCAACAGATGCATGGTCTAGAGGTGGGATACTTTGTACTGACTGAGCATCCTGCTAAGCTTGAAGACCTTGACTAGATATGGTAATTCTCGGAGGTGCCATTTCTAGACTCCTAAAGTTAGCATCGAGGCTTAAGTTAGTTTGTCGGAATTAGCAAGTTTGTGCTCTCATGGTTAGGTTGTGTTTTGTTAATGTTAATGTTAATGGGAACAACAATAACAACACAGATTTCATGCAATTGGGTATGTATAATAATATATATATATATATATATATATATATATATATATATATAATGTCGATGTCACCAAAATTGGGTGTGGTTAGGGTAGGAATAGCCCTGTGATTACAAAACATGCGTGTGAAGGCTTTTCCCGCTACCCTAACCCAAAACAAAGTATATATATCCCTCCTAGCTACCATGCTAGGGCCAAAATATCCGAAACTAAAAACCACAGTACACTATGAGAAGTGTCATCGGTTGGACTAACTGTCTATATAGAAACTCTAGCCAAACACTAAAAAGAGACTCTCGAGACTCCACTCTCTCCACCTGGAGCTCCAATCGATATGTGTGGCTAATCACCTCCTCTAGCACCTGACAGTGGAACCGGGTCTCCTCCATTGCCTCCTACAGCTGGTCCTGCACGAGTAAGGTCCTTATCTCCACAGTGTCTCTCTCCTCCTCCAAGTAATGCACCCTCTCCGTGAGTTGCATCAAATCCATCCTCAGCAAGAAGAGCGCAGTGTCCATCGCAAAAAATACGATCTGAGTGATGGGCAGTGTGGGGCACCAAAATAGAGATGGATTGCTCCACAGGAGTAGTTGAGGTAAGGGGAGGTGTAGTGGATGACTCCCCCACCTCGAATCGTCAGCCAATAGCCTCCTCATGCGCCCATGCTTGTATCTGGGGCATCCAGACGGTGTCTCGGCGGGATTTCTTTGTTTTCGATGGTGATGATGGTGGTGACGCCGCCCACTTCCGTGAGGGGGTAGCATCAATCTTCCTTAGGCTCTGCTTCACCCGAGTACCCATGGGTGTCCTATAAGATCGATGGGAAGGAGTACGGCGGGGTGGTGAGGTATCCGATGAGGTGGTAGTGTCCTCCTCATCCACGTCGGGCTCGTACTCAGAACTAAGGAGCTCTAGCCCAGCGGGTGTGTAGTCTGGTGAAAGGGATAGCTCTGACGGGCGCTCAGTGGGAGTATAATCGGGATCGAAGTCATCACCGTCCTCCAGGGTATCGACTGAGTCATCAAGTACTATATGCTCTACCTCTGATGAGGAAGCTTCCCTCCACGATCCATCGCATGCCATGCTCTTCACAAACCTACATAAGACATCAAACAGGAAGATGTTTATGAGAGATGTGAAGATCAATTAAATACTATATAATATCAAATTATAAGTATATAAAAGATTGTACCCGTAAATCCTAAGTTTCCCTCATTATATCATAACTTATAGGTTCCTAGGGCGGAAAAATCCTCGAATGTTGATGTCGTTGCGTTTTCCATCCCAAAATGTAGAAGTCTCTAAGAGAAGCTTCTGAGTATAAAATCCTATGCATCCAATCCATAAGTCCTCAAGCGTTTAGATTTCCAACCACCGTATCCGAGTTCGTGTTGGATTAGGTGTCTAAGCCATAACTATATTTGGTATGTACTTGACGCGGTTGTAGCATGGTCCTTTTGGGTTGCCTTCACTAAAGCAACTTGACTGGATGAATAATGGAGAAAGAGGTTATTATGCTTTATTAATATATTATATGAATAATATATTAAAGGAGAAATCATATTAATTAACTAACATTGGTCAAGAATTAATTTAGAATTAATTTTGTGGTCAAAAGAGGTTAATTGAATTAAAGGGACTGAACTTGTAATTATTGGATAATTGCATTGTGGGCTGAGGAAACCCTAAAGATAAGGGTTGGACGAAATCCTTATGGATAGCCCATAAGATTTCGTCCAAGGAGGGATTCTGGAAGATTCTTTTGGGCTGCTTAGAGCCTAAGCAACCGGATAAGTGTTTGACTGAAACCCTAACTCCTCACTTATATAAAGGATCCCTAGGCTTCATAATTTCGGCTACACCAACCCTAAGAAGAGTTCCAAGAGCCGAAATTATCTTCCCCTCTCTCTCTAAGATTCTCCAATTTGCTTTGGTGTTTGTGATCTATTAGAGGGACAACATTTGGGGTGCTAAGGTTCTCAAAAGCTCAAGATCTTCAAGCTACAATCAAAGGTAACTTTCTAACTTGTTTATTAGATATGGTTTTCGATTTTTATTGTATGCTAGACTAGGGTTTGCTAGTGTTGGACATTATTGCATGTACAAATAGAAAAACTAGATCCAAGCATTAGGGTTTGCATGAACACCATAGGAATGTTGTTTTGCTCATAACCCAACAGTGGTATCAGAGCCTAGATCGTTTCTCTTTTGTATTTGATGCATAGCTAATTTGTTCAAGCTCAAAAGTCGAAAAATCATGCCTCTGACTGATGGGATCGTCGATTCACCAGATGAACTCGACGAGTCAGGGCTACTCGACGAGTCCAGTTTTGTGACTCAGCGAGTCGGCTCGTCTGGTGGCTGATTTTTTGAGATTTTGACTAAAATTGAGTTGGGATAATTACCAAAAACGTTTTTGACTGATAAAACTCGATTTTTTCAATATGGTATTGATTATCCTAATTCAATTGATGGATAATTGTCATAAATAAGATAATTACTTGTTTTATAAGATAAAATTGATTATTTGTATTTTTGATTTGAATTATCTAGTAAAGAAAATAGATTAGGTCAAATTATGTGATAAATATTAATAATATGATTAATTAATTATTTTTCAAATTTGATTTAAAAGTTGTTTTGAAAAGTTTCAAAACTTGCCCTTAAGTTTTGGAATTTAAATTTTTGATTAATAGTTTTAATTTTGAAATATTTAAATTCTAAACCCTAGAGTTTTAAAAGTTAAAATTCAACCCTTCTACTATTATAATATTAAAAGATAAATAATATATATGTGTATAAGATAAAGCTAGTCTTACCGTTAGTATGCCTCATTCACGAAGCCGATCTATAAGGGGGGTATAAGGTTGCTACCTGTAAAATGGCAGTTTAATGGGTGTCTACTCTCACCCACCGCTTCCTTGATCGGTGGAGGGTCGTTAGCCGAATGGGTAGGATGGGGAAACCAATTCCTCATTAACAAGTATAATGATTATAATAAAGTAACTAAATGTTTTTATAAAATTCCCAATCTTAGTTACTTTAGGAAAAATGTGAAAATGTATGCTATTCCATGAAATTGTACTTTGCACCTTGCCAAGTCGTTAGTGGAGCGTGTGTGGTTAACCGACACACTAATTTGGGACTATCAAAGGTGGTAAAGGGTAACTTGATGTTTATCATAGATCAATGGAGCGTGTGTGGTTAACCGACACATTGATTAGGTGGTAAATGACATCGAGAGTACCAAGTATATTTACATGGTTATTCACACCTTGTTTATGATCCTCGGTATCCCAGTCACAAACTTGAAAGGCATAATCGAGATTTAAACAAGCCATTGAAAAGTTCAATGAATCTCAAAAGAATCTAGGAATTTCAATTCATTTAAAACTTAAAGTCCTTTTCGTTTTTCATGGTAGAAATTGGTAAATCGTCATTTACCTACCTTCATGTTATTTGCAATTAGATTACAACATCCCTCTTTTGAATTGTAAATAATCGTGTTGGATCCTAGCCCTAATTTCTCATTTGGGTGTTTAATTGAGGATTATTATCTAATCAAAACTTTGTTCCTTTTCTATTTCAGATGTCTTCTCAAAACAACAACGCTTCTGGCTCGACCCCTTCTGGCTCATTCTCACTCATGAACTTGTGTGGGAGGGTGATATTTGATGGGACCAATTTCAATGATTGGATTCGCAACATTCACATGGTCACCCGCTACGAGGACAAATAGTATGTTCTCGATAAGGAGCTGAAAGAGGTCAACGTCAACACTGCTACTCTTGAATAAATTGCTGCTTACGAAACTCATGAGCGAGATGCTACGAAGGTTCATTGCATCATGCTCGCAACAATAACTGTTGAACTCGAAAAGTCCTACGAGGACTACTATCCCTATGAGATGCACCAAGATTTGATGGAACGTTACCATCAAAGTGCCAGGCAGGAGAGGTATGAGATCATTGCCTCGATGATCACTACCAAAATGAAGGATGGAGAGTCCATCACGACCCACTTGCAGAAAATGCAGAGATTCGTGGACCGTTTGCTGAAGTTGAATGTCAACTTCGACGAGGAGCTAGCCATAGATATCATTCTACACTCGTTGCCTCCTTGTTATGACCAGTTTCGTATGACCTATCATATGAACAAGGAGGAGGTCACTCTGAGCAAGCTTCAAGGCCTGCTAAGGACTGCTGAGAGTAGTCTGAAAGGAAAATCTACTGCATCTACTCCTACTACTGCTGCCCCTGTCTTGGCTATTGGGCAAGGGAAAGGAAAGAAGAGGAAGGCTCCTTCTAAGAGCCACAAGGGTAAACCCCATGATGGATCCTCTTCTAGTGGGACCAAAGCTGGTTCTACTACCCCCTCTTCCAACCCAAAGGAAGCAGAGTACTTCTACTGTCACAACAAAGGGCATTGGAAACGAAGCTGCCCGAAGTATCTGCATGACATCAAGGATGGGAAGATAAATCCATCCTTCGCAGGTATTTATACTATTCAATCTAACAACTCATCACATGCTATTTCTTGAGTTCTTGATACAGGATGTGGTTTTCACATTTGTTCTGATTTGCAGGGTCTAAAAAGAAGTAGGGATGTGGAGCATGAGAAGATGAACCTGATCATGGGGAATAGGAAAGTGTCGCCTGTTACCAAGATTGGAGTTTACTCTTTAGTGCTTAGTAGTGGGTTAGGTTTAGATTTGAATGATTGTGGCTACTCATCAGAAATGGCGAGAAACATTATTTCTTTTCATGGTTTGTACAGACAAGGTTTTAGATTTTCGTTTAATAATGAAATTGGTTCTATTAATGCTTTCTTGAATGGTACTTTCTATTTTGAAGAATTGCCTTGTAATGGAGTATATGAAACTGTGAATGTTGTAGACAACTTAGGAAATAATGTGTTACACATTGATTCGTCCAATGGTTTGGACAAAGCATGTTTATGGCATTGTCGTCTTGGACATGTTAACAAGAAGCGCATAGCCCAACTCCAAAAGGATGGAGTGTTAGAGTCGTTCGACCTCAAATCGGATGACACGTGCGAATCTTGTTTACTTGGAAAGATGACCATGTCACCCTTCACTGGTTCTTGTGAAAGGGGTGAGGGTTTATTGGATCTCATACATACGGATGTATGTAGACCCTTTAGATCCACCACAAGGGATGTGAACCGCTTCTATGTGACTTTTACCGATGATTATAGCAGATATGTGTATATCTACTTAATCAAGCACAAGTCAGAAACCTTTGAAAAGTTCAAAGAGTTTAAGCAAGAAGTGGAGAATCAGCTGGACAGGAAAATTAAGATGCTCCGATCCGATCGAGGAGGTGAGTACCTTAGTATTGAATTCCATGACTACCTCAAGGAATGAGGAATTGTTTCACAATTGACGCCGCCTAGGACATCGCAGTTGAATGGTGTGGCTGAGAGGCGCAATCGAACCTTGTTGGACATGGTTCGTTCCATGATGAGTCGAGCTTCGTTACCTATCCCATTCTGGGGGTATGCCTTAGAGACTGCCACCCATATCCTTAATCTAGTCCCAAATAAGAAGGTTGCAAAAACACCTCACGAGATGTGGACAGGGAAAGTTCCCTCGTTGGCACATATTAAGGTTTGGGGTTGCGAGGATTTCGTAAGATGAGAGACTCACGACAAGCTTGAACCTCGTAGTGAGCGGTGTATTTTCATCGACTATCCACAGAAGTCCTTTGGATATCTCTTCTATGGACCGAGTGACAATGTTTTCTTCATTGTGAGGAGAAGGGTTTTCCAAGAGCGAGATCTCATATGCCAAGAGGAGAGTGGGAGGCAAATTGATCTTGAAGAGCTTCAAGAGTCAAGCGATGAAGAAACCTCTAACACTGGTGCTCAACCCGAGGAGGAAACGCCTGTTGAACCGATTGACGAGTCCTTACCTCTTAGACGTTCCACTAGAGTTAGTGTTCCACCTGAGTTTTATGGTTTCCATATCACTACTGAAGGTGATACGTTTATTAGCGATAGCACACTAATAAATTTGGATGAACCTAACAACTACAAGGAAGCTATGGCATGCCCAGAGTGTG